AGAAATTAATTCACCCCCCAAAAGACAGCCTAGCCGTTTTTTGGGACTCAAAAAAAAAAAAAGACCCTGCCTTATTATATGAGAAACATGGTATATATATGTTCGTTTGTATGTTTTTAACTGTATGAATATTAAATAAATTCTATTTTTAAAATTAAGAAAAAAAGAAAAACTGCTTGTGACCTTCTACTGCTGCACCATAGAGAGTATCTTAACTTACTCCACCTGTGTATGGTTACCAATTGGACAGTGGCAGAAAAGACAACACTCCAGAGGGTTAACATCATTGCCCAGAAGATCATTGGTTGTCCTCTCCCCTTTTTAGAAGAGCTTTACAGCTCCCACTGCCTTAAGAGAGTTCAAAACATTCTCAAAGATCCATCTCATCCTGGGCACCCTTTTTTTTTTAAACTATTACCATCTAGCAGATGGGACAGGATAATAACAACAAGGACAAATAGGCTGAAAACCAGCTTCTATCCCAGGGCAATAACTCTATTGAATTCTACTGTATGGTGCAATATTAATGCAATATCAGGGGTTTTCAATTCAATGTATAGAATGTGAAGGATTTGTTTTTGTGTTTATTTTCATAGTTATAATGTACACAGAAGATGGCATTTAATTTTGTTGTTCGAGGTGCAATGACAATAAAGTAAACTAAACTATTCTGTGTTATCTTAAACTCCTGAAAAATAGGGTATATATGCCTCAAATAATAAGTAAATGCCCATTACCTGGAACATTGATTTATAATTTAAATTTCTAGGGTTGCTCAATTGTCAATTCTATGGTTTACAGAGATTAACAATTGAAAAATAATACATTAAATCCACAAATTAAAGAAGATCATGCTAGGTACAGGAGGGGGGAACTTAGCACCATTTTCACCTACTCTAGAAGGTCCATCCTAGGCCAGGGTCTAGGCAAAGAGACAGGTCTTCTAAAATCTTTTGAAGAACAGAGCTGGTGTATATAATATTCTAAATACATATGCTTCTTTTAACTTAGTACAGTGATCACTGTACAGACATGTTCATGTCATTCCTTTGATAGCAGCAGAGAAATAGTTTTCATTGCCTTTGTAGGGAAACTGTTTGTACCTCCCAGTCAAACATATAGCTCTGGGTTTTCTTGGCCTCCCATTCAAATAGCACATGTTCTGGCTTAGATATATTACACAGATAGTAAAAAGCATCAGTAAATCAATAAATGCTATGCACTTATATTTTATTTAAAATGCAGAAAACATTCAATCACTTAGTCAACTGAATTTTATTTTAACCTTTTTATCAATACTTACAGATTGTAAGTGGCAGACAATTTGACATATATTAAAATGAGATTAAATATTCCTTATTGCATTAAATTGGACTACTATTCTTATTTTAAATTGACTTAGAGGACTTCCTTTTGGCAACACGGAAAAGGTGCATCGACATTACCAATTATTTACTGTATATAGTAACATAACCTTTCTATTTATAGTAGTTTCCTTTATGGTAGTACTTATGTTAAATAATGGGAATGTATATTAAGAAAAGTTAGGAAGTTAGAAAAACTAACTATAGTTGCCTTGCCCAACTTAAGTATTCTCCAAATGCATAGGCAACAATCTAGAAATTTAAATTTAAATTTTTGAAGGGTGCTGTGAATAATAAAAGATGAGCAGGCAAAATATCTCAAAATAATGTTTAAAATCAATAATAATAATAATAATAATAATAATAATAATAATAATGTATTTTTAAGATTGTATTAACTCCTGGAAAAGTAAAAAGTTAAGCAATGTTTTTCTCATAAATTAAACATCAAAATACACTGAAAATATTATTTCATTCAATGTGATAAATCAATCTTTCTTCTCCTGATCATTTGATTTTTCTGCAGTAACAGCTGGCCTAAGTGACATCAGGGGATCAACAAAAGGAAAAGCCCGGAATATCTTCACATATCTGAAGTAGCTGAAGATGACGAATCCCCCAAATAAAGTAATTAGCAACAAGTTCCAACCAGCAATATAAATCCAGTTTGGTCTGAAAAAATATATAATTTGTACTTTAAAAAAAACAGATTAAATGTAACAAAACTAACATACAACTGATTAAGTGCAACAAAACTAGTATATGAAGCACATAGGCAGCCATCTTCCTGCACTGCCTCCAAGATTTTACAGAAAGCAAAAGGCTGTTCTCTGCATAAAATAATAAATGATCATTAACCTGACATCTGAAAGGCCAGTGTTAAAAAAATCAATGAGAACAGTCCAGTCATTTTGTGCTTGTCTTCAAAAGAAGACTTCAAAAGGAAAATGAATTATAATTTATTAGGAAGTTCAATTTTATCTCTTAATGCTTGAATTTGGTTTTTTTTAAAAACTTTAAACATGTACTGCACTTAAATACTACATACACTGAATGAGCAAAGCAAGTTGTTTCAGTTATCAAAGTGGCAGGGAATGGTCAGGGAACATCATTGCTTATTTTTCATGCACTTAAGTTTAACATGGTTGGGATAGGCTAGCCTATGTTCTAGTAGTTTATTTCTATCTGATCTTGTTTCCAATTTTTCTCTCGTTTAACTGAAACTGAAGAATGAAATTTATTCCTAGGACCTGTAACATGGTATAAAAGGAGAAAACTAAAAGTCAATATCTGAAATACATTTTTCCACCACATCTGTTAGAAAAAGTATATACTGGTATCATAGATGTGCTTATTAAATATTGAATCATTAGATATAACTCAGCTGTTCTGTCCTGTGTATTATATAATTTTTCAACCTATAGCATATCGAAGTGAATTAAACTTACAAACTTAATATAGTATTAGTGATTTCTGTATGTAAAGCGGTGATAGTTGCAAACTGAAGGGATCATTCTTAGGAACTATGTAAACTTTTACAAGTTGCCTAGGAAGATGTATTCATTAGTCAATGTATCAAAAAGGTTATTTAAGTTGTTTTATATTTACATACAAAGAAATCTTATTAATTTCCTCTCATGTTTTCCACTGAGGTCTCTATAAGTATACATGTTGAAATTGTGGAGGTAGGCTCTACTCCCATGATGGCGAACCTATGGCACGCGTGCCACAAGTGGCACGCAGAGCCATTTGTGCTGGCACACGAGCTGCAGGCAAACTTACCTCACTACGCATGCGCCTCACAGCTGATTTTTTTTGCCGGTTGGTTTGAGGCCTTTTTCGGCCTCCCAGAGGCTTATAAAAAGCCTCTACAAGGTTTTTCAGGATGAATTATAGGCCCGTTTCGTCACTGGAAGTGATGAAACGGGCCTATAATTCGGTCTGAAAAGCCTTGCAAAGGCTTTTCCCAGAAAGGCCTCAAACCAACCAGAAAAAAAAATCAGCTGTGAGGCACAGTGCAGGTAAGTGGGTGGCAGAGGGTGGAAATTGCATATGCATGCTCAGGGGGTGTGGAGAGGGGGTGCACTCATTGTATTCTGGGTGCTGGTGCACATGCAATTTTTGGCACAGAAGCTCAAAAAGTTTAGCCACCACAGCTCTACTCCAAAAGTGCCAGCTTTTGAATGTACAGAAAATTTATTACAGGAACACAACTTCCCTATATCTGTACCTGTTTAGTAACAAGAGATCAAAGCTATTTCATTCCCCCCCCCCCACCAAGGTATGCATTTCATTGATAATAAAATTAGCTAAAGCCTATTGGCAATTACCTTTCAATGATACCATAGGTCTGGACAGCAAAATATGTAGATAATTTACAAAAACTGAAACAGAGAAAATAAGTGTATTAATATTTTGATAATATTATCCTTGTGTTAAATTATCGTAAAACATTAAAATAAATGGAACTATAACATTTCTAAACAATATATAACCCAGATGATAGAGGGTGTTAAAATGAGGTTCTAGAAAATTAACAAAAATAAAGAATTAATTCTTGTTAATTGTGATAGAGATTCACTTTGTATCTTATTTATTTGCTAACTCCTGTACTTCCTAAATTATGGATCAATTTTCAGTTCAAATTATGTATCTAAATAGATAGTCTCTGACTTACGACAGTTTAGGGACTGTTTGAAGTTACAAAGGTACTGAAAAAAGCACTGACTATTTTTCACACTTACATCTGTTGCAGCATCCCCCTGATCATATGATCAAAATTCAGATGCTTGGCAACTGATTCACATTTATGATGGTTACAGTGTCCTGTGATCATGAATGATCATCTTTTGTGACTTTCTAACAAGCAAAGTAAATGGGGAAGCCAGATTCATTTAACAACTATTAGTAACTTCAGTGATTTACATTACAACTGGTAAGAAAGGTCGTAAAATAAAGCACAGTTCACTTAACAGCTGTCTCACTCAACAAGAGAACATTTGGGCTTAATTGTGGTTGTAGATCAATAACAATCTGTATACAAATATGTAGCTATTTCAAAACTAGTGCACTAATTTGCAGTGCTTTCTCTGCAAATTAATGGAGAAATTGGATAGAGCAGCCATAATTAAATGCTGACTTAAAAATGAATTTAAATATTTCCCACATATGGGCTGGGTAATTCTGGGAGTTGAAGCCCTTATCTCTTAAAGCTCACAAGGTTGAAAAACATTGGGACTTCCAGTGACGTCACGGCATGACTATGTAGGAGAACTCTGCTCCGCTCTCCTACATCGGGGTTTTTGTTTGTAGGTGACCATTTGAGGTGGGATCAGATCCTGGCGGGATCACCCAAGCAAGGGAGAACTCTCGGAGCCTAACCAAGAACTGCAACTGAAGCTCAGGGCAAAAGAAGCCATCCTGTTGAGGCTGGCCTGAAGACGCGACGGAACAAACTTAAGAAGGAAGTGGAGAGAAGATATCAAATTTGAGTCCGGGAAAGATACTGGAGGCAAAATTGTTGTTGGATTATAACTTGTGGATAATTTGGGAAAGTGAGTGGTGAATGTCTGAAATTCCGATGCGAAAGGGGGAAAGTTGAAAGTGGCGGCAGGACTGAGTTGCCTACCCCCAGCTCTGGATAAAGTAAAACTTATTTCTAAATAGGAAAGTGAAAAGGAGAGAAGAGCGATTATAGTTGGTGAAAAACTTTTTTACTTCTAGCCATACAAACAAATCGCGGAGAGTAGTTTGTGGGCGGATAAAAACTCTGAAACCTTTGAAATTGAATAGAGGAGTGACAGTGCAACTTGCAGTGGTGGCCATTGAGACTGGCAATTCCGGGAGAGCGGAAGAAGGCAGTGGAAGTGATTGTTAGAACTGAGAACTGAGTCCTCAATATCCAATCAATCTCAATATCCAATTATTATTGGATATAACCGGAATATCAAGGAAATGTCAGGAAAGTAGGAGACTGTAAAGCCTTTTCCCGTCCAGTGTTCTCTTTTATTCTTTTTCTTTTTTTCTTACTTTCTCTTGGAACTGATTGAAGTGGCATAGATTCATTTTATATTTATTTATAGTATATATTCAAGTAACAAGAAAATAAGATTGATTTAACTTGAGTAAGTGATATTTAATCCCTTTGGATTATATTCTATAGTTTTTTTCTCTTATTTTACATATATATTGATTGAATATGGATTAATGAATTTAATATACTGATTAATATAATGATGAGTTAATTGATTCTTCCCTCCCTCTCATATCCCCATTATACTGGATACTGTGATTTACTGGAACATAAAAAGTATTAATTTGAATTTTGAACTTTTATTATGTATCTAGGGTAATATTGGCTGAAATATAGTAATTAATTAAAGAAGTGACGGGGGTTATATTATTGCTATATATTTAAGTACAGCTGAGTGGTTTTTTTTCCTTCATTTTTCTCTTTCTTCCTTTATCTGTTAGACGATTTATGAACTGATGAGTTATTGAACATATTAAGACTAGGTATTGTATAAATACAAGGTGAAGGGAATATCTAGAGTAATAGGTGGGTTTGGAGGTTTGAATACATAATTATTAATTGATAATTCCCTAAATCTAATGGTGTTAGGCAATTATATTAAGCAGAGAAACAATAGTCTAAAATAAAATATTAGATAACTGAGAAAATTAAAATTGTAAAATACGGATAAGATTGATGGTAGTTGGCAATATAGTCTGGGAAAATATATCTAGGATACTGAAGGAGCAACAAAGAATTGTCTAATATATGACTAATACAACTACCGCTATTACGAAAACAGGAAGAAAAATGGCATCACCAGTAAGACCATCTACCCCCACAGTAACATCGACCCCAAAAAACGATTGAAGGCACCAGAAAATCCATGACCCAAACCAATATGCAATTGGTTCATACTACATTATTAACTATTCAAAGCACGATGTTGGCAATGCAGGAGTCAATGTCTAAAAATCATATGGAAAGTAAAGCAGAAAGAGAAACAATGAAAGAAGAATTTAAAAATGAGCTAGGAGAAATGAGAAGTGAAGTTAAGAATTAGGATGGAAAGATAGGCCAGATACAGGAATTGATTAAAATAAATGAAGAGAAGATTAAAGAGATTGAAAAATTAGCTGACCGAACGGAAAAGAAATTGGAAGGCATAGAACAAACAATTATGGAACAGAACAAAGAGACAAATGAGACCCTGACTCATCTTGAGATGGGTCCTCCTACTATCTAAGGTTCCAGAACGTAGAGGAAGAGAGGGGTGAGAACCTACCGTTGGTGATGATGAAGATATTGGCAGAGCTTTTGAATAGAGATGAGAACAAGATGGTGAATGAGTTGGATGTTGTATATAGAGTGTATATCAGCTACGTGAGATGGCACAGACCACCCCGAGAAGTGCATATTAGATTCGCAAGGAAGCGAGTGAAAGATATAATTTATAGAATTACAAGAGATGAAGGAATAAAATATAAAGACAGAGAAGTGATTGTTCTAAAACAGATTCCAAGAAGAGTTTGTGAGCAGAGGAGAGATTATCGATTTCTCATGAATTATCTAAATAAAAGAAATACCTTTTAGATGGATCATTCCAGAGGGCATCTTAGTAATATAGAAGGAGAAAGGGGTGAGAATAGATAGTCTGACTAAAGCTCACGAATTTTTTGATCAAATAGGAGGAACAGGGGAAGGATCAAACAGCAGAGATGATCATGAGACCTTGAGTCAAGGGGAGTTACAACTTAGAAGCAGGGGGAGAGATAGGGAGAAGGAGAGGGAAGGAGGTGAAGAGATATTTGGAAGAGAAGAAATAGGAGTGAGGACTAGAAGTCAAACGACGAGAAAAAATACGGAAAGATAGAAGTGAGAAGGGAAATGGATAAAGGAGTGAATTTAATATCTATAAATATTAATGGGTTAAATGATCCAGTTAAGAGGAAAAGAGTATTTTTTAAGTTAGAAAAACAAAGAGCTGATATGATTTCTATTCAAGAGGTTCATATTAAGACACGTAATCAAGGATATTTAGTGAATAAAAAACTGGGGAAAATGTATTCAGCATTGGCAGAAGAGAAAAAAAGAGGGTAGTACTATATATAAAAGAGGACATAGCCTCAAAATTGATTTATAAAGATGAATTGGGAAGAATAGTAATGATAGAGGTGGTAATACAAAATAAAAAGACATTATTAGAGGGGATATATGCCCCCAATAAAAATCAAAGTGAATTTTACAAAATTTTATATGAGAAGTTAATAGAATTTGGTAACTCGAGAATTTGTATCATAGGAGATTACAATGTAATAACAAACAATAGCCAAGATTATGCCTGTGGACAAAGACAACATAAGAAACGGAATACATTGCCTAAGAAATTTCTAGAGATGGTTGAAGAATTAGAACTTGTGGATGTGTGGAGGAAGAGAAACCCAGGAATATCACAGTCTACTTTCTACTCCAGCCCACACAAATCGTGGTCCAGGATCGATATGGCTTGGGTAAATAGTGAGTTATGTAAGGAGATTCAGGATATAAAGATTTTGGCTAATACGTGTGCTGATCATAATCCGGTATAATATGGAAAAATAGTCTCTATAAAAAAGGTAGATGGACACTCAATTCACAACTATTGAAGGAGGAAGAATATATTCAAAAAGTTAGGGAAGAACTGACCAGCTTTTTCAAATTTAATAAGAAACAGGATACCTCATTGCAGAATCTATGGGATACTATGAAGGCATATCTAAGGGGAACATCGATAGCTTTTACAGCAAGTAGAAATAAGGAAAGAGAGAGGAAGCGGAAAGCTCTAATAAAAAGAATAGAGAAAATGGAAAATAAGCAAATGGAAACCCCGGGGGAACGAGCAAATTAGAAATGAATTAGCGCTAGTTAAACATGAAATGAATATTTTAGACCAAGAGAATTAATTAAAAAATATTATATACAAAACAAAATTATTTTGAGCACGCAAATAAATCTGGTAGGTGGCTGGCATATAAATTAAGAAAAGAAAACCAGAAAAGAACGATATATCAATTAGAGGATAAAAATGGAATAATAGAGACAGACCTGGAGAAAAAAAAGGAAATCGCAAGAGAATATTTTGAGGATCTTTATAAACAAGAGGATCTTTATAAACAAGACTTAAATAAAATAGAAGAATATTTGAATGAAGGAACTCTGTACCCTTTATTGGATGATAAAAAAGAGCTGCTTAATAGAGTGATAACTTTAGATGAATTAAAGGCAGCAATTCAAAACAAAAAAGAAACAAAACACCAGGGCCAGATGGGGTAACAAATGAATTATATAAAGAGATAGGTGCCACACTAGAGAGTATGCTATTAGAGGTCTGCAATGAGGTATTATTGGAAGCAAAAATTCCAGAATCATGGAAGGAAGCTTACATAACATTGATTCCGAAAGAGGGTGCAGATGCCAACCAAATAAAGAATTATAGAAAGATTATAAAATTTTTATGGCAATAATGGCAAAAAGATTAAAGAAAGTACTTAGCAACAAAATTCATTCGGATCAAAATGGCTTTCTTCCCATGAGGCAGATTAGATATAATACAAGAATAATAATAGACATATTAGAATATTATGAAAAACATCCAGGAAACCAAGTGGCCTTGGTCTTCCTGGATGCGCAGAAGGCTTTCGATAATTTAAATTGGGACTTTATGAAGAAGCAGATTAACTTGATGGACTTTGGAGATAATTTTGTAAAAATGTTAAATGCAATTTATGCTATGCAAAAGGCTAACGTATTATTAAATGGAGAAATTACTAAATCATTAAAGATAAGGAAGGGTGTCAGACAGGGATTCCCTCTTTCACCTCTGCTTTTCATAACAATTTTAGAAACTTTGTTGGATAGAATTAGATTAAATAAAAAAATCAAAGGAACCAAATTTAAAAGTCAAGAGTATAAATTACAGGCCTTCGCAGATGATATGGTATTTGTCATAGAAGACCCAATAGACTCGGGGCCAGTTTACTAAATGAAATAGATAAATTCAGTAAACTAGCAGGATTAAAAATTAATAAGGAAAAAACTAAAATGCTAATTAAAAATTTACCAAATAGTAAACACAAAAAATTGGAAGAAAAGATGGGATTACAAATTGTAAATAAGATCAAATATTTAGGCATCTGGTTAAGAGCTAGAACATTAAATCTGCGGGAGGACAAGTATACCCAATTACTGAAAAAGATTGAAAAGGATTTGGAAAATTGGAATAAGATGCAAATTTCATTATTAGGCAGAATAGCAACAATCAAAATGAATGTTCTACCCAAAATACGATATCTATTTCAAACAATTCCGATATTATTGGATAAAAAAATATTTAAAGAATTAGATAAAATTGTGATGAAATTTATTTGGGCAGAGAAAAAAATGAGAATAAAAAAATACATTTACAAGATAACAAAAGCAGATGTGGATTTGGACTCCCTGCCTGGGAGATCTATTATAAAGCAGTGGCATTAGTATGGATAAAAGATTGGATCAATTTGTGGAACAATAGAATTCTAAAATTGGAGGGCCACGACTTACAATTAGGGTGGCACGCATTTTTGTGGAACCCAAATAGCCAAAACAATCTATACTTTACTAGACATGGATTCTGAAAGTCATTAATTAAAATTTGGGCTGACATCAGAAGAAATTATTATCCCAAAATTCCGAGGTGGTTTTCAATGATGGAGGCAGTGTTCCACTTAAATACGATGGATATCAGTAAAAAACTGAAGTACCATCAAATATTACATAAAGAGGGAAGAATTAAAATGATACAGGAACTTGAAGCTCTAGGGATAGTCATTGATAATTGGTCATATTTCCAAGTAAAATTGAGATATAATAAAGATGTAAAGGAATATGGAATTGAGGCAAAAGATACGCATTTAGACAAAATATTCTCAAGTTCTGAGAAAGGGTTGATTTCTAAACTATATAATTATATATTAGAACATGAAACAGCTGAGAGAATCGTGAAAGGACCTATGTTAGCCTGGAAAAAATTTTTTGATCACAGTATAGATCTGGATGACTGGGAAGAAATTTGGCAAAAAAATCTCGTACTAACTAAATCAGTGGCACATAAGGAGAATTTGTACAAAATGATGTATAGATGGCATCTGGCACCCTCTAGATTGGCCAAAATATTCCCAACAGCAAACCCATGCTGTTGGAAATGCAAAGGTAAATTTGGTACTTATTTCCATCTAGGGTGGACCTGTCCTGAGACAAAGAAATATTGGTTAAAAATAAAAGAGTGGATAGAAGAAATTATAGAGTGTGGGCTGGAGTGGAAATCTGAACTGTTCTTGTTGGGAATGATTAAAGGGGATTATACCACTAAAGTAAGATATCTGACCATCCACTTATTGACAGCGGCACGGATTTCATTAGCACAATATTGGAAGAATCCAAATGTACCACCGATACATATTACTATTCAAAAAATGTATGAGTGTGCCCAATTGGAGACGCTCACGCTCAAAATCAATGGGAAGGAGGACACAGATTATTATAGGATATGGGACAAATGGTACAACTGGGTAAACCATAAAGGGAAAACACGTAAATGAACCCTAGAAACAAATTATATGCAACTGTCTTTATGAAATGTACAAGAATAACAAAGGTGTTAAATATTCTTTTCTTTTATATAATTATTACTATATTCACTATATCTT